GTCCCCTGCATCGGCAGGCGGACCCTCAAGCACTGCGCCACCAGGGAAGCCCCCTAATTTTATTTTTTATTACAAATTGTCACCAAGTTGTCTCAATACTATTTATTGACATCCATCCGTATGTGATTTTGAAATGCTCTTTTATCATGTACATTGACCATATTGTGGTTTATCTCTGGGCATGCTGTCCTGTTCCAGCGTTCTGTCTTCTTTCATTACTCTTTCGCAAAATTTCCTTGGCTAGACGTGCATTTATCATTTATTTTTATAGTTTTATTTTATAATGATTTTGTCAAGTTTCAGAAACAAATCTTGTGTTTTGTTTGCAATTCCTTTACATTGACTGACTGAAAAGATAAGTGTCATTTTTACAGCATTGAGTCTTCCTATTTAGGGACTATTTTGTCTTACGTGTCTTGGTAAAGTTTTATAGTTGTTACTGTTTTGGTGGGTTTTGTTTTGTTTTTGTTTTTAACGTGGGTCCTTCACATTAACCATATTGGGGGGAGGGGGGTTAACGTCTTCTTTGCCTTATGTTCTGTTATTCCCTTTGTCATTTTCTTCTGACTTGTTTCATGACCAGAACCTTTTCTTAGGTTAAATAATTTCCTAGAATTTTTTTTAAAAATTCATTTATGTAGTGCTTTTTACTTTTTAAGGTTAATTATATCTGTTGTCTTAATGATTTTTTTTTCCAATTTGAGAAGACTTCTAATGTATGTAGCTAATGTGTATATGGTAGGTAAATTACTTGCCAATATTTTTAAACACAATACAAATGTCCATTTACTTTCAATAACAATTTTTCTGGAGAAATGTCAAACTGCTGATTTTTAAATTATCCAGGTCTTTTTTGGAAAGAAGAACAAGTTATTTGGGTGGCTTTCAACTTGTTATTTTTAATCTAGCATGTTTTTGATATCTGTTGGCCATTCTGCTTTAAAAGTTTTAAGGAGGTAAATCCAAACTAATAAAGGAAGAAACTTGATTGTTATGGATTTTTTTTAATCCCTTCAAAGAAAATATTTGAGTTTTTCATTTGGTTTTTGATATACGGCCTTACATAGTGTTAAAACTGTGTTAGAAGTAATTATTTGTCTTGTGATTTCCTGTTTGGGGAATAAATGCCTGTAAGTTGTTCTTTTTACCCTCATTGTATAATACTTTATAAAATAAATATCACAAAAATAACTAATTGGATTGTCAAAGAACAGCACGTAAGATGAACATGATATATGGTTCTCATGAATACTGACCTCTTTCCTTGACACCCCATGACTGGATTGGTCTGCTTTTCTGTTTCTCTAGCATCTTTGCTAATGTCCACTACACCGTGTGTTATAATTCCGTGTTTTAATGTCTATTTTTCCAGTAGACTATGAGCTCCATGAGGTCAGGGACAGTGTCTGCTTGTTCACCATTATATTCCCAGCTTCTAGCACAATGTCTTACATGGTATGGGGCTCAGTGAATAATTGTGAACTTAATAAGTGGTAGGAGCCATCATATGAGGTATGTTGATGCTGGTGGATGTATGAAATCATTAAGGATTGTCCCTAAACAAAGATTTACTGTCCCTAATAAACAGAGGGAGACATAAGGAAATAACAAATACAATGAACTCTGTTTTCTTTTTACATTGGGAAGCATTTGTTTTTCAAGATTATCTATATATAAAGTGTGACTTAGTCTTATAAACTTTTCTTAGAAAACAAACTGCCCGTTTGGGTACTCAGGAGAGCAGGAAATTTAGCTTTGAACCCCATATTCTGATCAGTTAAGGAGTAGGGGAAGGAAGCAATCCATGAAGGTGAGAGGCTGAAAACTGGAGCATAGAAGGAGAATGCTAATAGAAGATTCTTATTTGAACACTGTGATGAAGGAATGGAAACAGACCTGTTTTTGTTTGTCTTCATTTTGTGGTACTGGGAGAGGGAACCAGGACCTATTATTGGTTTTAACAGGAGTATGAATTTTCGCTGTTGTATGAAATGGTGGCTGCTGTTAGAAGATTCCTTGTCAGTGAAAATAGATTGTTCATGAAGCTCCTTCAGGAATACTGTGGAAGGTGGCCTCCAGTGGGTCACCTAGATCAGTAGTTTTCTCTTCCAGAAACCCAGTGTTTTGCTTGGGTTCAGGGTCCTTGGAGAAAGTTTGATGGATAAAACTCTTGGGCTCCCTTTTAGGCTTCAACCAAATTAGCTGCTTTCAATTGTTTTGCATGGTCAGATTTCACAAAGATTTCGAATGGTGGAGGAAAGGGTTCTGGTGTATTGAAAAGAAGAAAAAAACAAACAAACACTTGAACTAGATCTCTAGAGTCCCTGTCTAACTCCAAGCCTTTGGGAATTTGCAATATTTGTACCTCGTTTCCCTGTCTTTCTTTGTAATCTTTCATGTTTGAAGTGAGAGAGTTAACCAAGTGGTAACCCTGTAATCTAGTAGTAGTAGCAGTGTGCAGTATGGTGGGATTTAATTCGTAAAGGTCAACCTTTTTTCATTCGATATTTGGTCTGCTACAGAGTGACTCTCAAAATGAAAACTGACTTTTGGTGTCTTGTCTTGGAATATGTATGTGCTTGTTAAGTTTTTGAGATGAATTTAGGACTTGTATGTAAATAATATCAACATAGTATTTGTTTTTATAATTAAACTATAACTTTTTAGAACAGTACTAGTAAATGAATTAGGGCCATACTAGGCAGAGTTTGGCAGATAAATGATTGCAGGTTTTCTAGCATACTGATAAATACATTGGCAAACTGTTCTCCCTTCCCATGTCTCAGTTTACTTATTTGTAAAATAAAGAGAATAATCTATCTCAGAGGGCTGTTAAAAGGATTAAATTAGTTAATACAAGTAAAACCCTGAGAAAAGTGCCTGATACACAGTAAGCACTCAATAAATATTTGCTGTTATTGTTATTACATTGACGTATCTATGATGCATTCATTCATTCAGTGAATGTTGAGTGCCAGTTCATTCAATAAATGTTCATTTTAGCTCATTGCTAGTGACTGACATTGATACGAAGATGAAATGACAATGATGTTGTCTTCAGGGAGCTTTTAGTTTAAAGGGGGAAATAAAACAGACATACAGGGAATTACAGAACCATATATGATGTTTGGGGATACAAGTGACTTATTAGAATAGGTGGCACTTAAGCTGGACCTTTCAGGGATGGGTAGTATTTCAAAAAGTGAAGTCAAGAAAGGTATTCTGGGCAGAAAAAGCTAAAACAATTAATGGCTTCAGAGGCATTGGCAATGGGAGATGACTAGGATATGGTATGGAATAAAATTGAGAACATTTGGGGTTAAAGCATAGCTCCAAATGTCAGGCATTGAAATGTAAAGTTGTTTAGCAGGAAAGTGGTGAGTTTAATCTACCAGTAGGATGGGTTGAGTGCCTAGAGATGAGAATGTTGATTAGACTGTTGGAATGGGCCAGGTGTGAAGAGCGCAGTTTTATGTTCGATGTTGATATGTTTGAGACAGCGAAAGGTGATCTCATTTTGGAAGAGGCAATTGGAAATGGCAGTCTGACTGTATTCCATTGGGAACCAAGTAGTAGAATTGAGAGTTTCCTTGGTGGAGTTTATACATATGCAGTTGAATGTGCTCTCTTTGAAGGAAAGACAGCAAGGCTAAAATTTGGATTTTCCTCTCGCCTTTTTTAGAGGTTGCCAAAACAAAGCCACGTCATGCCATGAAGCGGAAGCGGACAGCAGATAAGTCCACCAGTACCAGTGATCCTGTGATTGAGGATGATCATGTGCAGGTGAAGGAGAAAATCCTTGCTTACCTTTTGGTCCAGCCAAGTTCCTGAATAATGTAAAGGAACTAAAGTTCCCATCTTTACATAGTTTCTTTGCCCTAAAGAGAAGAGACTGGTAGTAGTTGTTTCTCACTTGTGCCAGTGAAAACACTTAAGCTTTAAAAAAAAAAAAAGAAAGAAAGAAAGTACAGGAAGATACATCTTTTAAATTTTTCTTCTTGTAGGTCCTTGTATTAAAATCCAAAAATCTTGTTGGAGTCACTATGACCAACTGTGGAATCACAGATCTAGTGCTGAAAGACTGTCCCAAGATGATGTTTATCCATGGTATGTATTTAGGCCCATGTCATACAAGAGCATCATGATTGAGTTTAAAGAATTAAAGTCTCATAAATACTACAGTAACGTTACTATATTACTTTTTCAAAAGAATCATTATTAGATTTTTCTAATTCTGTCCTCATTCTATAGTTCTCAACTAATTATTCCATCGTATTTACAAGGGACCATGTGCAGAGCCTTGGTTCATCTTTTAATATATAGCCTCTCCTCCAGTTTCCTCCAAATGATAATTACAACCTGATCTGACAGAGGTTAAGTTAACAGCATATATGGGCTTTGGAGTCAAGTAGACCTCACCTTGAATCCTGTCTTTGCTATTTTCTAGCTGTGTGATGTTGCCCATGTTTTATGTATGTTTTGGGAGGAGGGGGGAATAGTGACTGAGCTGTAAGTGCTTAACTGCACTGGATTTGATTGATATCATCAATCATAACCTCAATTCATGGCACATTATCCTTAGTCCAAGCTCCACTTTTCTTTTCAGTCCCATTTCTCCCTCATTGCCAATCCCTTCGGCTCCCATTATCTGTAGTCAGGTATTTAATATTATGTCCTTTCAGTCTGTCTTTCATGTCTTTTTTTATAGACATATTTGTCTCTGAACAAATAATAGGGTATTATTTTGTGTGAGTTTTTAAAATTTTAGATACATAATATGTCTCATACATGATCTGTTTATTTTTCCATTATTACTCAAATTTATATTTTTGATACCTATCCATATAAAATTATGAAGAACTGACTTGTTCCTTGCCTTGTGCAGTTTATATATATTCTGCCTTCATTTTTTTCAGTGTGTGAAGTATACATAATTTTACTTACCTTATAAAGCATTTGTGAAGGTTAAATGGAGTGGTTGATACATGCACACATGTGTGTATATGTGGATGTATATACCTACACATAAACACAGTAGAGGGTCTGACCTCTAGTAAAAGCCTAGTAAATGTTCATTTGTATTAGTATGGCAAAAATATTTAGGGGCTTTCTATTTTTTGCACTTCTCCAATACTGGTAGTAAACAAAACAAGGAAATTCTTACGAAACATTTTGTCATAAACTAGGAAAATCCCAAAAAGGAGAGATAAAACTGAAATTTAAGCACTGCCTCTCTCTTGAATTCTAGAAGACTCCAGACATGGGGACCCCAAACCCCGTGTTCACCCTTACAAGGTGGTACTTTATCTCATGTTGAAGTGTCCCCCTAAAACGGAACGGGGGTCTTTCAGAAGCTCAGAGGTCATAGCCAACAGCAGAGCCCAGACTAGCATAAGAGCTTTCAGTGTGTCAGCACTCTGCTCTCTGAGGTCTGAGACTCTACCTTCGGACTCTGCTGGTTGACTTCTCATTCCTGTCTCTATTCTGAGCTCTCTGAGAATCTGACTGGTTTTCACCTCTGCACTTGACTTTGATGATTCTCTCTGTATCTTCTTTAACATTAGTGGTGGATCACATGGCCTCAGGCCCAATCTTCTCTCCTTAGACCAAACTTTTTAGCTCAGCTTATTGTGGGACAGAAGATCTTAGATAAGAAGCTCAGTCCCTGGACACCCACTGATGGATGGGTTGTCTGTTAACGGTGGATGAGATGACTAAATGAGATTAGAACTGACCTTAGCCGAGTCTGGTTTTACAGCAGGGAACCACTGAACCCTTATCGCCGGCTAGTCCTCTCTTCCCTCTTTTCCCGTCCCCAACACTGCTTCCTCTTCCTCCTGCCATGTCACAGGAGAAAATGAGTCTGAAAGGCATAAGACTTGGTCAGTGTTCAAACATCAAAATTACAGGGCTAGATTGCTCAGTAAGATGATGACATTTGGATCAAGGATGTTACAGAACATGTCTTTTATGAAATGTTAAAAAGGTCAGGCATGTTGGCATTATGGAGAGAATATCTTTGATCTGATTCTGTCTCTTGAGTTGGACCAGGCTGAAATCTATGGTAAAAACTGGATCAGATTGAAATGTGAGATTTAAAAAGAGGAAGGGGATATTTTTCTGAAGTTGGTATACTGTTATAGTTAAATGTGTCTGTTATATCACAATTACTTTTCTCTATAACCTCAATATTTTGTGTTAAACGGGAAGAATATTTAATCATGTTTCAGACCAGCACTTTCAACAGAACTTTTTGCAGTGATGGAAATGTTCCATATCTGTACTGTTCGATATGGTAACCACTGGCTACTTGTGACTGTTGAACATTTGAACTGTGACTAGTGTGTGAGGAACTAAATTGTTAATTTTATTACATTTCAGTTAATTTAAATTTAAATAGCTACAGGTGGCTAGTGGCTACCACATTGGACTGTATAACTTTAGACCAAAGTATCCAAATATTTCTGGGTCTTTTTTTTTTTTTTTTTTTAAGGTTCTGGTTTTATACTTGAGGTAAGAATTAAAATCAACACTGCTCATTTCCTATGGGTGAATGTAAGATAACGTATGTGAATTATCCCAGGAACCATTACCCATAAAATTGTATAATTCAGTAGTTGCCGTCATTCATTCTCTTCAATATGTATTTCCTAAACAATTCCTATATTTAGGCAACTCATTCTCTGGAATTTGAATTTCTTGCCAGTAACATCTTAGATAGGAAAAGGTATCTCCCTTCTAGCATGAGGGCGACTGCCTTCTTTTGAACAGGACAGAATCATATTTTCAAGTCATTTTGATGATTGTCAGTTGTCCTTTGCACTAGTACTTGACCTATGTGAAAGATGTTTACATCTGCAATATTTTATGCTAATAAAAGGTATGCCAGTCCTCCAAAGAGGATTCCAAATAGGTTATACGTTGCTTTATTATTTTGTATAAATTATTTGTAGAGCTTACCATTGTTTTAATTTTGTAGCTACCAGGTGCAGGGTACTGAAACATTTAAAAGTAGAAAATGCACCAATTGTAAACCGATTTGACTATGCACAATGCAAGAAACTGAATATGGATCAGGTACTAGACCAGATACTAAGGATGCCTCCTGAGAGAAACCGTATCATATACCTACGCCCCATGCAGCAGGTAATGAGCTCTGCTTCTTTTTGATGATCACATATTGCAGTGGTATTTTTTAGTGTTCAGCCTTTTTGAAATTGGCTTTTATGCATTTGCTGAACCCACAGTAATGATTCTTTAGATTCTACAGAGTTTTTTTTAACCAGCCTAGACTACCTTGCCAATCTTCTTCATCAGTGCTTCTCTGATAGATTTTTGGGGGCTTTTAGCAAGTTATATGATGAGGGGAGTTGTTATACAGCAAGCTTTATACTTATTAAAAGTTGCCTGTGGTAAAGAGCACAGACTCTGGTTTCAGACTTTCTGGTTCCAGTTCTGGTTCACTGACCTGTAGCAGATTACTTAACTTCTATGTCTTAGTTTCTTCATCTCTAAAATTAGAAGAATAAAAACCTGCCGTTACTGTGATGGTTAAATTAATACATGTTAAGTGCTAGAACAGTTGTTGGAATGTACTAAGCAATCATATGATAGTTGCTGTTACTATTATCATCATTATTATAATAGTAAACTTTTTATAGTATCTATGAGATGATGGCTGTTAGCTGAACCTATTGTGGTAAACATTTCACAATATATGTAAATCAAACCATCATGCTGAAGATATGGCATGCATATACGATGGAATATTACTCAGCCATAAAAAGAAACAAAATTGAGTTATTTGTAGTGAGGTGGATGGACCTAGAGTCTGTCATACAGAGTGAAGTAAGTCAAAAAGAGAAAAACAAATACTGTATGCTAACACGTATATATGGAATCAAAAAAAAAAAGTTCTGAAAAACCTAGGGGCAGGTCAGGAATAAAGACACAGACACAGAGAATGCACTTGAGGACACGGGGAGGGGGAAGGGTAAGCTGGGACGAAGTGAGAGAGTGGCATGGACATACATACACTACCAAATGTGAAATAGATAGCGAGAGGGAAGCAGCCTCATAGCACAGGGAGATCAGCTCGGTGCTTTGTGACCACCTAGAAGGGTGGGATAGGGTGGGAGGGAGGGAGACGCAAGAGGGAGGAGATATGGAGATATATGTATATGTATAGCTGATTTACTTTGTTACAAAGCAGAAACTAACACACCATTGTAAAGCAGTTATACTCTAATAAAGATGTTAAGAAAAACCCCAACAACATCATGCTGTATACCTTAAAGGTATACAGTGATGTGTTGTCAATTATTTCTCAATAAAACTAGGGGAAAAAAGAGTAACATTGTGTGTAAGACTCTGTGCTTGATGTCAAAAGAAGGTTTAAAGGAAATATGAACCTTTGCAGTCAATGTTTGAAACTGGCCTCAAAAGAATCATTTCAACACACAAATTGCTTGTTGAGTGTTTATAATTTGCTGGGGCTGAAAAATAACACAGGACATCATCCTTCTTGAGAAGTTTGCCTTTCCACGAAGGGGGTAGACATACATGTCATTAGGATGACAAAGTGGAATTTCCTAAGTAAAAGAGGGATGAGGGCATTCCATGAGAAGAAAGCAATGTGAACAGAGGTTACAGGGGGGCAAGGAAGTGTGTTCTGTCTTTAGGAATGGACAGTAGTCCAGTTAGAATGGGGTATATGGTACTACACATTCACAATTCTATAGTGCAGTCAAAATTTAAACCTGTAAAGGATATATTCAGAAGTGGATTGCTGGGATCAGTTACCTGAATCCGGATTCTCTGGTTTAATTCACATTTATATAACAGTGAGATGTAAATTGCTGAGCTTGCTAAACAGTTGAATTTGCTAAGCCTCATTCCCTAGCATGGCAAGCTGTGTTCAGGGTGGAATGTGACTCTTTGATTTTCAAATCAGCCAGATTTAAAAACTGAGGTCCCAAGGAAAGATTGTTCAAGCCTAGGAGATAGATTTCTAAGGCATTCTCTTCCTTGGCCCAAAATCCTCTCTCTCATGTTTTCCACAGGTGGACACACTAACGTTGGAGCAGAAGCTATTTAGTGGTCCCTACCCCTATCACATCTGTATTATCCATGAATTCAGTAACCCTCCCAATGTCCGGAACAAGGTGCGCATTCGCAGCTGGATGGACACAATAGCAAACATTAACCAGTAAGTTATCTGCAGCCCCTGACGACCTTCTAAGTCAGTTCCCAGAGCAAGGATGCCCAGAAACAACAAATCCTAATTATTTTTTATTTTAAATGATTTCATCTGGGCTTTTCAGGCACTGAAACATGAAATGTAATGTGAAAAAAAAGGGAAATGAGGACTTAAAACTAAAATGCGTACATATATATTTGTAACTTTTTATTTTCAAACTTAGAGAAGAATCACAAGAACAGACGGTACATGTACATTTAGTTTCATTCCTTTAGCCTTAACAGCATGGAAAAGAGATATTAAAGATCTTAAAACTGTGATGTTTTACATCTTCAGAAAATTTGACTTTTTATGCATTTGTTATTTTAATATTTTGTTTGAGACCTTCATGGAATCTAGGCATGACACATTTTGATAGTTCCTTTCTAACCTACATCCCAACACTATTTTCAGTTTTATAATTCTTATTTAATTTTTCTTGTTGCCTCCAGAGAGCTCATTAAGTATGAATTCTTCCCTGAAGCCACACGAAGTGAAGATGACTTAAAGAAGTATCCCAAGTACCCGTGGGGTAGAGAAATCTATACTTTAGAAGGTGAGCATTTATTTGCAAATGGTTGGAAAGCTAAATAACTGTTAACTAATCAGATGGAGAGACATGTCTTAGGGAAGATTGGAGTAGGAGCCTAACAATTTGTCAAAATAATGGGAATACTGAATATCTGCAGGTAGCAGGGACCAGATAAATAGTGCGCTCGCTGTATGAGTCTTTACCATGCCTAAAATAATCAGCAGTATTGAAACACAAAAAGTGAAAGAAAATTGAAACTTGCTATACAGTTTGAAAGTTGCAGTGACTTGAGGAAACCTGTGTCAGCCTCTTTATTTTGTGTGTATATATATGCACACATATATAGAAAGGGAAACTGAGGCTTAATGGAAGCAAAGGATGACCAAAATCACATGACTAAATAGTAGCAGAGCTAGAATTGCAATTTATATCTGATGCTGCTTTCACAATACTAACAGCGTTCGGCCCTATCATTACTTCCACCCCAGTAGCACTGTTGATCTGTCTTCTTTTAGGTGTTGTGGATGGAGCGCCGTATTCCATGATTTCTGACTTCCCTTGGTTGAGATCACTACGGGCAGCAGAACCCAACAGCTTTGCCAGATATGATTTTGAGGATGATGAAGAAAGTAATTATGTCCTGACTTGATTTTTATTCTCTAGTTTGAGGTTATCCTACGGTGTTAGATACTTAGTATTTTGTCTGAGTTAACGAGTGGTGCAGCTTTTTATCACTTCCCATATAAATGTTTTTGCTTTTTGTTATTGTTTGGTTCACCCCTTGCTAATAAAAACAGCTCTAAATGTATACAATAGATAACCAGTTGACTTACTAGGGATATATGAAGGTTGGTGGAAAGGATTCCTTCAGACAGACTGTCCTACCTAGATTTTTTTATTACCTAAATGTTTATAATCTTGTTACTCCTTATTGAAGAATTTGGTCAACTATATTGTTTCAAAACTGTTCCTGTTATACTAATTATTCTGCTACTTATGAGCTGCTTCTTGTTGGGTAGCATGTGGGAACTTATGATTTAGGTGTGGTTACTTGATGGGGGAACTTGAAGGAACTCTGGAATATAGTTCTTCTAAGTGTTAGCACCCTTGAATATCCATTTGTAGGAAGTTTAAAAATATATATTTTAGGAGGATAGTCGATTTCATAAACTACATGCACATATATATGACTTACCTCTCTGGTACATTTTTCACCTTGGGCCTTTAATCATGTGTGCTCTTTTTGGCATCAAACATAGTATATAACCAAACTGATGGGGACCCATTCCATGAGCTATACATACATCAGTTACACTGCATGAGAGTATACAGGCATATCTCATGGACCAGCTAAATCAGAGTGGCTTTCCAAATGATTCTGATAATCTTGTTCCCCTTTTCTTTCTAATTTCCAAGGCACCATCTATGCTCCTCGAAGGAAAGGGCAGCTGTCTGCAGACATCTGTATGGAAACAATAGGAGAGGAAATTTCAGAGATGCGTCAGATGAAGAAGGGCGTGTTTCAGCGAGTAGTGGCAATTTTTATCCACTATTGTGACGTCAATGGAGAGCCTGTTGAAGATGACTACATTTAACTGGTCCCTCCTCTTTCCAGCTATTCTGGCAGTAAGCTGCTGGGGCCATCCAGCTGCCAGAGAGCTTCACAGAGGCTTGCGGCATGCAGTTGGGAGGCTCCGGCACATTTTGGTATATAGGAAATGTATAAGGAACACTGAAGTTGTATACAAAGATTTGTACATAGAGGAAATACACAAAGATATTTCCTAAGTACCAACTTTATATCATATGTTTATACAATTTAATTTAAAAATTCATTTTAATGAAGGCAGAGAATTGGAAAGAGTTCATTTTGTTCATTTTTCCAGACTTAGTTCATAAAGTGTCACTTTCTGGCTGAGCCCCTGTTTACTATATTCTTAATCATCACTGTCACGCCCTTAAATCTGTGCCTTTTTCTTCTCGAGCAGAGCTGTTTGAGTAAACCTGTTGAAGCGTCTTTTTGTCTCTTGTGCTCTTTTTGTGTTACTATTAAAACTCCAACTAAACCGTATGGTCAGAGGTGGCTGTATGTTTGTTTCTGTACAAAATTGTGGTTCTTTTTCCTCTTGGTATTGTAGTTGCCATATTTCTTAAAATGAAGTAAAAAAAAAAGACTCATGGGTTTAAAGAAAAAACTGAGTTTGAGGGGGAAATGGAAAAGTTTCCAAAGCATTTCTAGTTATTTATTTCCATATTGTGTATATGCTTTATCTTGAATATAAAAATAAAAATTTATTAAAAACTTTTTTCTTGCCTTGCAACTGAATTCCCTCATTTTAAAACAGAGTAGCAAATACTACACAGAAAAGGAATGTGTAGTTGTGTCTGAGTAAGATTTCAGTGTAGTCTAATCTCTGATCTCTTTTTTTAAAGTTCTGTGGCTGCAAGATGTTTAACTCACAGAACTCTTTAATGACAGAACACTGGGAACAGCAGAATTTCCCCAAATATCTGGTCTTTAGGAGATGGCCTTTCTCCTTTCTCAAGGAGAGAAATTCATCTGATATATGGCAGTGATAATACGCAGTACCATAGTGTCAGGGGTTAAAGCAAAAAAAGCTTCAGAGCAACACCTGTGTCTGAGGGCTGGCTTTGTCACTTGCTAGCTGAGTGAACGCAATAAACTGCACAAACTGAAGTTCTGTGGAAATATTTTAGAAACTCTTCCCAAACAGAATATGTGATTATGGTCTACATGAGATGTAAGGGTCCAACCCCTTCATTTACAGGGGATTAATTGAAACCCAGAGGGAAAATGGCTAACCCACAGTCAGGGGCTGGTTGAGGCCAGGCGGAATAAGAATTCAGTGCCTAATTCCCACCAGGCTGCCTCTACCTTCATCATTAATATTCATAGAAATGCAAGAAGCCAGCAAGTATTTCCTAACAAACGCTCATAGTATGAATGATAATCAGTTTCTTTCCTCAAAGTTCTCTGTTTTCCAAGACTTTAAGTTCATCTATTTACATGAGGAAGAATGTTTGGTGCTGCATTCAGTCATCTCTTTATTACCTTGTTTTTAACTCAGCTCACCTCTCTTCTAATTAAAAGAGTGTGTTCCACTCTCCAGGTTAAAACTCTCATCACTAAAAGGTGGGAAACAAATTACGGGACATTCTAGATATTTAAAAGTAATATAGACCCCCAACTCTCAGCTAAGACTCGATCTAAACCTGTTTTTTCACTGTAACCGTAACCAAATAATGTTTAGATATAAGGCCACTAGAGGCCACTGCTCTCTAATTTTTGTTGGTTTGTCTATCTCACTGTCTCAACCTGATCCACTCTAAAATCATTCTAAAGATGCCTAGACTGCAACAACTAAAAAAATGAAACTTGATAGATGCATTTGGTAAATGTCTATGGAATGAATGGCTGGACAGTCATTGCCTTACAGCAGCTATCAGCAAACTTTTTCTGTGCAGAGCCAGATAGTGAATATTTTAGGCTCAACTATGACAACCACTCAGCTCTGCTGTTGTAGTATGAAAGCAGCCATAGAGGAAACATCAAGGAATGGGCATGGCTGTGTTACAATAAAACTATTTTTGGAAACAAATTTGAGTTCCACATAATTTTCACGTCACAAAATATCTTTTGTTTTCCGACCACTTAAAAAAGTAAAAACCATTCTTAGTTTACAGACTGGAGGATTTGGCCCCTAGGTTGTCATTTGCCCACACCTACTTACCATAGGGAACTGAGTTGTGTCTGGCACATTTTTTAAAGACCTTAAGAAATGTTTCATGGATGGATTACTGAATTAATGTCAAATTTAGAGAGAGAATCGTGTCCCTCTTATAATGCTGCCAGGTGTGTGAGTCCTAACAATCTCTCTAAATAATAACTGGCACCACAATTCTTCCAGGAACTTCATATTTGGAATCAGAAAATCTGGGCTCACATTCTGACTCTCTCAGACGACTGCTGGATGACGTGGATGGTCATAAGCCCTACTCAGTTTCCTCATCTGTAAAATGGCCCGGACTAACACACCCACCCCACAGGGCAGCTGTGAAGGTCCAATGAGAGCCTTCAGTAAACTGGACGATGAGATGCAAGTGGAGGTCGTATTGCTTCCACCATAATTCCCTTTATTATGAAAGGGTTATCTTTTCTTTTTTTTAAACTACTCTTCCTATAACCTTCTGTTCCTTAGACCAGATCCCAGGATGGTAGGAAACAGAGATAGAACTGGTGAGGAAGTAACGATACCATGAAAGCATTTTTTAAATCGTTTACCAAGTGCTTTCCATATACATCCTCATACCAACACTTTAAAATATGTATGATCATTATGTCCCCCACTTCACTGTTGGGGAAACTAGGGTGTAACAGGTTAAATATCTTGCTTACAAACACTATTCTAAAAAGTAGTGGAAGCCGTCTGACTCTAAAGCCCGAGCAATTGAGCAAAGTGGCTTAGTTCCCTTTGAGGGAGGAGACCATGTGAGGCCCATCTGAGGGTGGGCCTTCCCCCCGGGAAGCTGCCCAGTCAGAGTTGCTGCTGCTGCTTCAACTTGAAACAACTCCAGCTGACCTTCGCATGGTTAGTACAGTCCCAAAATATGGAGGCTGCTGATTTTCTGATGCAGGCCTCAAATGGCCCACTCAGACACGGGATGCAGTAAAAACATAATAGAAACAACACTGCAAAACTATACAACGTCTACCGTAGGAAATACACAGCAACTAAAGAGAATGAATAAAAATCACGTATTGATGTGATATGATGTTGACGGTATACCTTTGCAAAGGCAAGTTGCAGTTATTATATACTGCGTCATCTTATTTATATACAAAAACAAACCAAAACCATGTATTTTTATATGTACATTTTGACATATATAAATACACAGAACACGTTCTTGAATTATATAAGCCAGGTGATGAGGGCAATTCTTGGGAGGGGAGTGGAACTGAGTTGGTGTCAAGGGGTATTTTGTGGTATCTTTCTTATTAGAACTCTTTATAATGGGGGTGGAGTGCATAAATACATTATTTGTATAACCTGTCATTTATATAGTCTAAAAATATATAATTTGCATATTTACAAATAAAATATTTAGGAGAGGAGGAAGAAATCACTCCGTGAGGATGGAGTGACCCTAAGTGTTTTCAGCCCTGATTTCTGCCCTGTATAAGCTCTGTGTCCTTGAGCAAATCACTTTCCCTGACAAAGTTTGTTTCCTTTTCTATAAAATGAAGTCAGTAATCCCCCCCCCCCCCCCCCA